GGAATGCCATAGAACTAAAATAACTTCTTAATTAATTTTCCACCTGCTGCAAAAATCTGCCCAATAAAAATACATAATAATAAACCTCTTTCTGCTATAAAAATTACTATCCTCAGACAAAAGGGCTGCAAGTCAAGTGAAGAGTAGGCTTCCTAACCACTACCAACTCCCTTCAGTGTGAGCTTAGGTCACTTCAACAGGCCATAGGAGAAAAAAAGCATTAGACAATGACATCTTTAGCAGAAAAAGGTGTGCTGACATTGATTTTGGTAATTGCTTGCATTTTTTATTTTATTTTTAATAAAGGACAGGTTTTTAGTCCTTCTACCTGGGATTTTATGGAAGTGGTAGCACAGATTTGCAGAGCTAGGGATTGTAAAATGGCACTGAAACACGATATGACTGGCAGTACCTGCAGCTGCCTCTTCCTTACAGCTCCCATCCCACCTCCATGATTCCTTCAAGGAAGAGCTTTGACGTTTTTTGGCCACTTTTTCCCTTGCAGCCTTGCCAAAAACCTAAGGTACGAGAGTGCTTAAAAGGCACATAAAACTTACAAGGTCCACGCAAACACAGGGCTTTGAGCAACCTGGTCTAGTGGAAGGTGTCCCTGCTTATGGCAGGGGGTTGGAACTGGATGACCTTTAAGGTCCCTGTCAACCCAAACCAATCTGTGATTCTATGAAACAATGTTCAACCAGCTCTCTGTGAAATCATGTGTTTATCCAGACCAGTAGTAGGAGAAAACTACCCTCTGTTTAGACTGTGTACTTCAGATAAATAAGATTATTTTGCTACAAGCAATTACAGGCTACAACATACTCACATAAATATATTAATGTCTATATGTGGACATGAATTTGTATATATTGGATACAGATAAGAAACACTTAACGACAACAAGTAGATTACCAATAACTGCTGCAGCTTCTTGCTGGGTAGAGTCCGTCATCCAGACTTGACATGATGAACCTACCACGGTGGGTTCTGCCATCTCCTTTGGAGCACCCAGTGGGTCACCCTCACTGCACCAATGCAAAAACGTTTCCCAACCCTTCACTAGCACACCCCTGCCTCTACTTGATCTAGAAAGCCAGCTTGATGGGCAAAACTCAACACAACTGCATGCGAGGCAGCCATTTCCACCCAGTATAAGCTTTTAGGGACTGCCCCATCTTCTGTGCCAGCAGTGGGAAAAACCAAGCCCAAGGGAGCTGCTAGACTCAGCTTTGTCGAGACTATAGGTGGAAAACCTTGGTTTTAAGCCTCGACAGCAACATCGGCAGCCTGATTTGCAGAAAGGGCGAAGAGCTGAGGATGCTCAGCAGCTCTGCAAACACTAAGTCAACCCACTCTCAATATAGCGCCTGTCCTCCTCTAACATATGAGTGGAGCTGGACCAAGCAAGTACAAAGGTCTCTAACAGACGCATGCAGGAGACGGCTTCTTCCAGCCTCAGATTACATTACTGAAGCATCCCCTTACCTGAGCAGGAGCAGAAATGTGCTCCTACTATTATTTACACAATATAAAGTGCTTTACAATTTCATTATTGAACTGATAGACTTTCTGCTGGGACCATACAATTTTGAAACAGAGGTGAGGGCTTGAACAGGAAATTCTCTCATGAGAAAAAAAAAAAGAGGTTCAGACTGGTGCTCTTCACCCTGTCCTCCTAAGGATTGTTTTTGGCCGTTCTTTCTAGTGCAAATAAGCTTTGTGTTTTCTCAAGTTTAAGGGACACGGCAGTTTCAGGGTGTCAGGAATGAACATTTAAAATACATTAGGGATTCGGCATTCCTGAGCCGATTCATGAGCATTCCTGTGCATGAGCAGTCCACATGATCACTGCTCTCCTAAGCTGAAGACACGCTGCCAAAAATAACAAGGGACCCATTCATGAATCTCACCATTAAAGTCTTGCGTTGCCACATTTCCAGTGAGCCTGTATTACCTGCAAACATCGGTGCTTTCCATTGTGGCAGACACCCATGGCTAGTGGTTTACCCATGGGGAACTGGCTATAAACATGAAAATCCTGATCCAGTTTTGGATACTAAGGTGCATCCTATGCCAGGAGAGTCAATTTATTAGTGGATCCTGTGGGATACTTGCGTGCCAAAACCGAGCCTGACCCAGTAGCCAGCAGACACTGAATTCCTGGGTGATATCTAACAAATGCTATTGGAAGACCAATCCATTAACAAAAGATAAACGGGTTTTAAAAAAAATGGGCAGATAAGCAAAACCATGTCACATCTTTTTTTTTCTTTTAAAATGGTGAAGAAAATATCCCTTTCCAATCACTTTGCCCAATATATCCGAGGTATTTTCCTCACTGATGCTAAAGGAACACAGGGAAGGCATGATCGCTTATGACACAACATGGTCACTCTAATTCCAACGCAGGAGCTTCTATGATCCCTTGAGGGAAAAGTAGGCTGGGATGGGGAGATGTTAACCTCGTAGGGGAAGAATGCCAGGTAGGAGAGGAAAGGAGAACGTAAAAGGTTTGTACATTCATAGCTCCAGTTTGTTGGAATATAAGTTAATTTTTAACTCCAGGCACTGTGACAGGCAGCAGCAGTTAGCGATACGCTAATGTGCGCAACAAGGACTCATTCACTAAATTCTGGTTTCACACCAATAATGGGATGTAGAATTATTTTAATGTTGATTTTGTTTGCAATTGACCTGTTAAAACCATTGGGACCAAAGCCCTAAGAGCAATGATGAACCAGCACCCCCTGCAACTCCCAGCTGATCCGTCATGCTCCAATATCAGTTGAAGTGGTGGGGCGAGAACATCTCTCCCAGAGTTGAAAATGAACCTGAAGTGGATGGGAATTCTTGACATGAAGACAAAAGCTTGCTTGCTGTATCTGCTATGTGTGGTTTTACCTAAAGGGAGAATCACCTAAAACAGTGAAATTAAATTACTTACTTCTTGTCACAACTGTAACACTTTCCTAAAGGTTCTTCGGTGACTTTGGTGCAAGCTTTGATTTTTTTTCCTTTTTTTTATCTTTTTTTTTTTTAATTATTTTTTTTTTAAGTTAAAACAGATCAACTAGTTTATAGTTTCCAAACTAAAGTCCAGATTATCCTCTTGGTTCCCAACTCTGCATCCCCAATTTTTCTCGTTATGGTTAATAACATTAGCAGCTAATAGCATTTGGATTGAGTGTGGCCATGCAGCGTGCAGGTGGGTCCAGACTAAAAGTGATCAACAGTCTGGCTGGGGATAAATACATTTCTCAAGAGATTAAATAAAAATAAATAAAACCATGTCATGGTTGCATGGGAAAACAGCTGGTCCACATGAACATTGGGCCATTCTGTTAAAAAACAATTCAAATTATGATAAATATCTGATAAGACATGTTAATGCCTCCTTAAAAAGAATCTTAAAGATGGGCAACATGTTATTGGAAGTACCTGGAGCTCCATCAAATTTCCACTGGTTTCAAAGGGGAAGGAGCTGGTCACCCAAAGGCTAGAAAAGCCCCTTACGTTGAGTATTCATGTTTTAAGCAGTGATAAGGAGCTTTCAAAACCTTTCATCAATCTTCTAAACAAGGAATTGTATACATCTTCCCTCCAGAGACTTCAGCGGGATGACACTGAAACCACTGATGGTGGGCCACTGGGAATTGAATTGCTCCATAAGCTCTGAGCAGGTGGGAAGGGGGTGATGGCAGGGCACAGATATCATCTCCTAACAACACCACCACCTGTAAAATTAACATGACAAAAAAACCAACTGGGCGTAAACCACCACTTCTGAAGGGCCACCAGTAAATGTGAGAGAGATGCCTTTTTATACAAGCCCAATGGTGCACCAAACCCGCCCCAAGGTCTGTCTTGCTGCAGGAGGAGAAAACCAGGTAACATCACGACTGCATTAATCTCTTATCTGGGAGAAAGCCTCAGTCGTAGTGGTCCCTCCTCCCCCGAACCCTGGCTGTTCGAACCCATAACACAGCTACTATGAAAATACCTTTTCACATTTTGGACAAATGCATTGAAAATGAAAACCAAGAAATCACCAGCATGGGCATGAACATGGGTAGAACACATACATGGGTTATTATTCATTGCCATTAATTCAGCAGTCTTAGTGCTCGAGTGGAGCTTCGCTATCCCAGGATATTCAGGTTATTTGTTCAGCACAAAACTACAGAATGAATAACAAATCTTTACCAGCACGTAATAAAGGTCTGACCAGTTATCAAGGTTTTACCCATGCAGGCTATCAGTTCAAACTCAATAACCAGCAGCTGCCAATTTAAAAACCTCTCTCTCCCCTCATACCCATACCATGAATTCACATGAAGTTGATTTTTATCATAAACCCTATGGATGCGCTGCTCAGCCTATGGACCAAAGACAAGCAGAATTCAGTCCCGGAAAAAAACCATCATAGAAACTGATACATTTCAGCATAAGGTTTGGGGTTTGGTTTGCTTTTGTATCACTTTGGGAGTGCAACACAAGCCTTATCTATACTACTTAAAGGTCAGAGAGCCAGATTTTGTTTTATGCTGATACGTGTACTTCCATAGTCTTCAACACTCAAAGCAGCTGACTCAGACGGACTCAGGAGGTCGGTACTTTCATAAGACACATGGAGATGATTTGGGTGCAATTTAACAGACTCCTGTAATATTACAGACTGGAGTTAGCAAGAACTACCGGAAAAGGACTTTATAAAAAACCCAACAAACCAAAAGGGGCAACTTGGAATTACTCTAGGTCAGTCCCTCTTACCAATTTCTGCTTGTTTTGTTTATTTTGCCAGACAGCCAGTCCAATGCACTCTATTCGAGACCCTCCTGCTCTTCACCACTGTCCCCTCTGGCGTCCATCCTTTTTTCTTTATGGCTGTTGTAAATTCTCCTCATCTCTTCTTCGTACTTGATAAAATTTTCCCCAAACCGTGTCCACGCTTTGTAGGGAACCGTGATGGTGTTACGGTAGGGCGGCCTCACCTCACTTACCTTCAGGAAAATGCCGTACCTGTTGGATCCCACGTCGAAGTAGAAGCGCTTGTTGTCCACTCGGAAGGAGGTGCCCTCAGGGAGCTCTGGAGGCTCATCACCTCCCCCCCGGCGATCCTCTATGTCCCCCTCACCATATTCTTCTATCAGCTGGACCAAAGCATCCCTGAACTCAATCATCCCTTGTGCTGGCAGGACGATCGTCTGCTCCTGTCCCAAGCTGTGCCCAAAATAACCCATCATGCCAGGTCCTCTACTCATGGTTTGTCTAATCCGCAAGAAGCGCCCTCGCTGGTTCTCCTTCAGGTCCAGGTAATACTTCCTGTTGTCCCTCTCGATGTACTCCGTTTTGAGGACACTGTGAGGGTGCTCTTCAGAGCAAACGGACATCGGAGGCGAAGGCGGTGGGTGCTGCTGCCGCCTCCGGGGATGCTGCTCTTTGCCGTTGCTGTGCTCGTGCCGGTGACTGCTTTTCAGGCCCAGGTGGGCATAGTGCTCGATGAAGTCCCCCAGGCAGTCCTTCAGTTCAGCAGCCACAGACAAGGAGAGGGTCAGCTTGCTTTTCCTGATATTGTCCTGTCTGCCTCTTCCTATCCAGACTTCGGCGATCTTCAGGAAGCGGCCTCGGGAGCTCTGTTTCACATCCAGATAAAAGCGCTTCTTCTGGATGTCCACCCTCTTGGAGGCCAGCTCCTGGATCTCCATGCAGCCCCCCTGGGAGGAGGCCGGGTAATGGTACTGCTGCTGGGACTGGGAATAAATGCTCCTGTGCAGGCCAGAGCCTCCCAGGTTCCTTCCTCCTCCTCCTCTCCCTCTTTCCATCTTTACTAATCAGCTGGAAATAATACAGAACAGAGACACAGATGACAACATCAGCACCAGGGGCCTGCTCGGCTTCTCGGCAGTGTCTCTGTTCAGCACTGCTCTCCCTGCAAAGCCGCCTGCATCCCTCTCCGCTGCCACAGCACGCAGCATCGCAGCAAAAGGATCCCGGGTGCTGTTCCCCTCCCCACCTCCGGCTCTCAGCCAAGGGAGCCTTCCTTCCAGCAGCCCTAGTGCCCTCACCCTCTGTCCCCAAAATCCAGCAGCCCTCCCTGCCCTGCAGTGGAGAGCAGGAGCCCCAGTGGGATGGGTTGGAGTGTCCCCGTTGGGAGAGCTGTGACACTCATCCGCTGGGTGCTCCTACTCCCCACTGCAGGGTACCCCCACCATGCTGCTGTGCTCCCCTTCCATCACACTCCTCTGCTGTTCCTCCCCAGGGCACCGGCGGAGAGCACTGGGGTCCTCCCCAGCACTGTCCCAGTACTACCTCCCCAGTACTCCTACAGCCCTAATATTGCCCTCGTAGTGCCCCTAGACCTTCACGTCCTGCCCCCAGTACTGGCCTCCTCCCCCCTCAACACCCCCAGCACTGCGCCCCACTGCCCCCATCACTGCATAACCTGCCCTGGTGCTCCCAGTGTTTTACCTCCTGCCCTCCCCCACCAGTAGCATCCCCGGCCTCCCAGTGGCTCCAGTACTGCCCTCCTCCCCCTCTCCCCACCCCATCACTGCTCCCCAGTGCCATCCATCACTGCATCTCCTGCCCCAGTGCCCCCAGATCTTCACCTCCTGCCCCCCGTATTACTCCTCTGCCCCCCAGTACTGCCCTCCTGCCCCCTCACTGCTCCCCAGATGCTCCACATCACTGCATCTCCTGCCCCAGTGTCCCCAGAGCTTCACTTTCTGCCTCCTAGTGATGCCCAGTGCTGGCCCCCCACTGCCCCCAGCACTGCTCCCCAGTGCACCACATCACTGCATAACCTGCCCCACTGCCCCCAGAGCTTTATCTCCTCCCCCACCCAAGTGCCCCTCAGCAATGTCCCCCTACCCCCAGTGCCCCAATACCCCTCCAAGTGCTCCCAGTACAGGCCCCCGCATGCCGCCAGTGCCCCAGTACTGCCCCCTCAGTGCCCCTCAGCACAGCATCTCCTGCCCCATCGCTGCTCGGCCCCCTGCACCACATATGCCCCGGCACTGCCCCACACCCGGTAACTCACCCCACAGCGCCCATCGCCGCCGTTGCCCTTCAGCAGCCGCCGCCGTCTCCGGCAGCCCCGCCGCGCAGAGCCACGGGTTGGCGCACCCCCGCCGTCCGCTCCACCCCGCCCCGCCCCAGCCCCGCCCGGCCGAGGACGACGACGACAGCGGCGGCGGCAGCGCGGGGGGAGTCGTGGGCTCTCCGGAGGGTGTGTGGCCCGCTCGGCACCGGGACTACGCTACCCACAATGTCCCACGGCCTCCGCCTCATTCCGCATGCGCGACACCTCGGGTAACCTGCCGCCGCTGCCCTGGGAGATGTGGGGGGGATGGGAGCATGTCGTCTCCGTGACGTGTTATGAGCGCGATGCGCGGTGACGCAGTATGCGTGCTCCGTCGGTGGCGCGGTGTTCGGCGGCGGGGCGACGCCGCAGTGGGGTTCCGTGAGCGGGGCGCAGGTATCCGGCGCATGGCGGGGCTGGGGATCCCGTTTCGGTGGCGGTGAGGGGAACGGGCCGCCATGGAGCCCGTCGGTGCTCGGAGGGCAGCGTCCCGCCGTCGTTTCCGGCCTGCTGCGAGCACCGCCGGGCCCTTGGGCTGCTTTCTGCCCCGCGGTGCCGGGTGGAAGAAGTCCTCCAAGAGTACAAGCCGCCCCCTGGGAGGGTTCCCGGGGTGTGCGCCCAGAGACGTTGAGGTGCTGGAGCGGGTCCAAAGAAGTGCAGTGGAGCTCGTGAAGGGTCTGGAGAGCAAGTGTGATGGGAAGCAGCTAACGGACCGGGGGGGGGGAGGGAGTTAATCTGGAGAAGAGTAGGCTCAGGGGGGACCTTATTGCACTCTGCAACTGCCTGAAAGAAGGATTGAGCTAGGGGGTGGCTGGGCCCTTCTCCCAAGCAGCAAGTGGCAGGACACAGCCTCAGTCTGTGCCAGGGGAAGTTTAGATTGGAGATTAGGAACAATTTCTTCCCCGAAAGGGTGATCAGGCATTGGAACAAGCTGCCCTGAAGTGTTCACAGACTGTGTAGATGAGGCCATCAGTGACATGGTTTAGTGGTGGGCTTGGCAGTGCTGGGGAAATGATTGGACTTGAGGATCTTAAAGGTCTTTTCCAACCTGGTTGATTCTGTGATTCTAGGTGAGGGGCTTTGGGGTGCAGAAGAAATTTCCCTGAGGAAATGAGGTGTTTTGACCGTGTGTGAAGGCTTTCCCGCAGCTCCATTTGTGCTGCCATTTGGCCTGGAAGATCCTGGTGCCAGCTCAGGGCAGGTCTCACGCTTGTAAGTGCAATTTCTTGGTGTAACACCAGTGAGGTGGGTGATGCCATGGTGAGAGGTGCTTGCTTGTCTGGTGTTGCTGCTGAAGGCACTCTGGGGCTTTTACCTGGTTTTGTGGCAAACATGTTGGGGTGGCAGATAGTGGGATAGGTGCTGCAGAGTGTCCTGTCTGTAGAATCCTGGAGTGGTCTGGGACACGAAGGACCTTAAGATCATCCAGTTCGACACTGCTGTGGGCAGGGACACCTTCCACTAGACCGGTTTGCTTCAAACCCTGTCCAACCTTTTGTAGTTTCTCTGCTGGTTTCTGTCATTTACAGTAGTTGCAGCTCTCAGGAACAGAGTGTTTCTACTTCAGGCATCTTCCTAGTGGCTCTTTTGTTACTGTTTTAGTATTAAAATGTTCTTCTAAAGTGTTTTTTTAGGTAGTAGCTCATTATGCTACTGCACAAGTGGATAGATAACCAAGGAAAGCCTTCTGTCTACCGTAGATAATCAATGAGAAACATCAAAAGGTGGCTTTGAGTACTGAAAAACTGAAACAGCATGTTTTGCATATGATTTGGACCTGCTTCTTGGTGAGGAACTGCAACTGAAAAGTACGTTCTTGCATACAGTAAGAATGTACTGCTAAGAATATACATGCAATGTATATGTACCCTGAATTTGTTGTTGATGTGTTGAGCACCTGGGGACTAGTGGGAGGAAGCAGGATGAGAAATTTGTTTGTGACCTGTTTGAATTTCCAGTGGGATTTCTAAGTCACACTAGAAGCAGTCTGGGGAGAGGCTGGAACAGCTCTAATACAGTCATCGTTTGCTTACAACTTGGAAATTCTGCTCTGCTTCCCTGAAAGCAAGCCTAAGTCATTAGGGCTGAAAATCTCCTGGTGTTATAAACAGCATCTCTTCCTAACTTAAGTCTCTATTTTAAATTTACAGCATCTCTATGGAGTGCTCTCCATCATCTCTGTTGTCTTCCAGGGAATGTACCCTGCTTCCTGATGCCCTGGGAATAAGCTGTCTCTGCTCAGTGAACTCATTTGGTTTGAATGAACGGCTGGCAAATTGCTAAGCAACTTCAGCCATCATCCAGTCTGTGCCAAAGATCTTAGCAGCATGTGCCTTGTTTGGCTGTAGTTTTCCCTAGAAATTCTGTGGTTTTCTTTACCTTGGTTGAGGACTTGCAGCTCTGAGGTCCTGTGTAGGCAGTGAATGTCTTGGGGTGATATCTGTGGGAGTCTGATAGTCCCTAGTTTGGGTTGGGGGTTTTAGATGGCTGGTTTCTATGCTGTTATCTAAACCACAACATCAATATTTGGCTAGGTAACGAGGGCTGTGTTGACCAGAGATGGCAGTAGGTGTACTCTTCTGTTCCAAGTCACTGCTCTCCATAGAAACAGACTCAGTTCTTTTTCCCATATGATTTTAAGAGGTTTTCCCTGTGTTTTGTGGTGTTTGTTTTTTGGTGTTTTTTTTTAACCTTATTTTCTTACTGACATGAATAAGAATATAATGCCTAAAGGTCTTTTGATATTCAATGTGGGCAGTTCTGTAAATGTCTATTCTTGTGCACAAACCCTTTTAAGTTCAAGGTAGTGAACTTCCATCACCTTGTTCTGGCTTGATGATAATAACAGCTTGTCTCTGTACAAATTGACCATTCTTTTTTGTTCTTATTTTTATGTTGAAGGAACAGAAATGTGGAAAAAATGAATAAAGTAGATTTGCCAAATACTAGTCTGCAGAACAAATATCCACAGTGGATGCTTACTCAAAGCCAAGAGGAAGTTTTGAGTGATAAAAAGGTATGTCATTGCATGGAGGAAACTGAAGTTTGCCTGTGTTATGTTAATAAAGTAATTAATTGATGTACACTGTGTAATAAAACAACAGTGGAGCAGTTGCATGTAGTTATACCTCTGCCTCTGACATTCTGAATGGTTAGAGATATTTTATCCTATGAACTATAATTAAAATTAGCTCCTCAATTACTGGTTGAATGACCTTGCTAAAGTTTTTTTTTGGAGAGGTTTTTTTTTTTTTTTAATTAAAAAATCATGTTGCCATTGCTATTAGCTCTGTAGAAATTTATTCCTGACAGACTTGAATTTTAGTGTCAAAACCACCCAAATATAGGGAGATTTTTGATGTGTTGCTCACCCAGTGTTGTAGGCTGTACACCATGAAGAACTGGGGCAGGAGGGGAGATTATATAGATAATCAGAGAGCTCAAAATGCAGCGACCTCAAGCTGCAGGCTGGTAGGCTGGTTTGTTATGGGAAGGCCCTCTGGCTTTCTGCACTTGCACGTGTGCATGTTCAGGAGGTTCTGCAGCTCAGAGGTATAGGAAGAATTAATTGATCATAAAGATTATGTCAAATTCTGGTGTTCCAAGAATGTTAACATGTCCTTGGATGGGTTGTTTCCTGTGTATAAGAGCAGTTTTGGTATAAAACTTCCCACCAGAAGTGACACCTTTCACTTGTAACATCTGGAACTGCTTTAACAAGTAGAAAACTGAGTGGCAAGAGGAGGCTCAGCTCTATAAGAACTATAAGAGCAGCAGTTAAAAATAGTAGTGTGGATATTGCTATGTCATTTAACCAAGATGACTTCCATGTGCTGTGGTACAGCAGTGTACCATGGAACCCTGCTTCAGTCAGCAATTGGAGGAAGGGTTTTGATTAAGCTTTGGCTGTTCATTAACCGGAGGGAATGTTTTATTGTGCAAGCATAAAATCAGCACTGCGTTTGTTCCTAAATCTCCCCCTTCCAAGCAACATCTTTCAGAAACTATATTAAAACCTCTTTTGTCTATTGTGGCCCCTTTAGATTGACAAGATGTTGGTTTTTAAGTGTTACTATGGCATACTTACCCATATTTGGTATTACTGGCACTGTAATTTACTACGTAATTTGGACCAAAATGAAGTTTTTCCAGGTAGCTAAACTATCAGAATCTGCAATTCAATTAAATTTTACCTGTTGAACTTTTACTAAATACCTTTCTGAAAGGGGGGAAAATCATTAACTGGAGTGTTACATCTCACCTTACTTGTGTGCTTAAAGTAAGCCAGTAATCGTCAGTTGATGGAGGCCAGTGGTCCTTTTAAATCCTTCAGATAGTTTAAATCCATGGAGTTTAGAGCTTTGTGAAGTTCCTCACACACTATATCTGGCAGGGTTAAGTGAAGTGGGCTTGCTGAAATGTGGGACCAAGGAAATGGGGGAACTGAGCTATTTTATACAGGTATACTGGAGATGTGTTTGAGGATTCTAGCCTGACCAGATTTGAATGACCTGAAGAATTGCTCAAGTTATTGACCATTTTTAATATTTTTGCCTCAAATGAGAGATGTGCAAGCACTACAGCATTTAAAATAGTCTTAAGGGTTTTTTTGACACTGTCTAAAATGCTTCTTTTCCCTGACCTTGTTCTTGAAAGCTAAAAAATCTCTTTGGTGGGAAGAATACGACAAAAGTAATTGAGGTAAAAAACTTAACCTGCAGGATTTCAGTCTCAGTGCTTGGAGCTAAGCAAAGAAATGGGGACATGGACCCAAATGTTCCTAAAGGGGGATGTCACCCTTTTGTTAACTGACAGTGCTGCTGCCCCTGTGGTGTGGAGCACAGTTCTGTTTCCCAAGGTTTTGGGAAACACTGATGCCAGCCTCGCTGGGACACAGCGTTTACATTGGATGCAGCATTTGTAGTGCTGATGCTTTCCTGTGGCCAGTAACTCAGCCTCTTCCAAATGTTGTTTGACAGAAGTCTGCTTTTCAGAGGAGTGTTTTGGAAGATGGG